AGGTCTCTCACCTCTCCTCTCTAACATCTCACGTCCTCCCAACTATATCCCCTCCTCCCTCCCCTCCTCCCCCCTCCCCTCCTCCCTCCCCTCCTCTCTCCTCCCTCTCCCCCCTCCCTCCTCCCCTCCCCTCTCCCCTCCCTCTCCTCCCCCCTCTCCCTCTCCCTCTCCCTCTCCCTCTCCCTCTCCCTCTCCCTCTCCCTCTCCTCCCCACTCTCTCTCCTCCCTCACCCCCTCCTCCTGATGACCTCTCTCATACAGGACGCTCTGTGGAGCGGTGTACCTGTCCTCACACTAGCGGGTGAGGGGATGGCAGCAAGAGTCGCCTCCTCTCTCGTCCTGCTCCAGCAGCGGAGCGGAGTGACTGTGAGCAGGTAGACTCTGCTGCTTCGCTGGTGGAGGCACTCAAGGCTGCTCAGGAACCTCGCCGACTACGAGGACATCGCCGTCCGCCTGCTGTCTCGGAGGGACCGGCTGCGAGCGCTAAGAGAGGTTCGATCTCAGCCGAGTAGTAGGAGGGGAGGGGAGGGGAAGGGAGGGCACTGCAAGGATAGAAGACCTGAGGGGAGGAACAGAGGGGGAGAGGACGAGCTCCAGATGACCTCTGCATGTGCAGGAGCTGCGGCAGCAGCGATGGCAGTCTCCTTTGTTCGACACCATCCGCTGGTTTTCCTTGTGGGAGCGGCAGATTAAGAAGGCTGTCGACCTTGTGCTGGCTGGTTACTACCCGCCAGCTCACATGCACATCATCTGACCCTGTCCGGGTCACTTTTCAGACATGAAAGTAAACTAAACAATTCGACTAGTCACCGTGACCGTCAGTCTGAGTCAGCCTCAGTCCGTGGCATCCGATAATCGGCGCCGGGCGGCATGCGGCCCCCCACGGACTCAGCCGGCCTGGCGGGCCGCCGCCCCCCCCCCCGCTGACACTGGGATGGCATCGGAGGGGGATGCAGCTGGGGATGCAGCTGAGGATGCACTGCTGAGGGAGATGACTGAGGGAGGGCTGGTGGATGAGGGCTGGATGAGGGGCTGGATGAGGGGCTGGATGAGGGGCTGGATGAGGGGCTGGATGAGGGGCTGGGATGACTCGGAGGGTGAGGGGGATGAAGAGAACGTCATGGACATGGTGTACCCCTTACGGGGGTGGAGGTATAAAGATTCCTTCATGTACCGGGGTCAAATATTGAAAATAGGGGGGTGGGGGTACTTTTTTATTTTTGTAGGAGGGGGGTGGGTAGAGTCTGAAAGGTCGCCGCCATGTTCTTTATGAAGGTTGCAGCCACCGCGCCAAAGGCGAAGCCGTCGCAGAAGACGACGATGGTGAGAGATGCTGTAAAACGATGATGCAGATCTAAGCGTCTCTCGTTGATCTCTGTCATTCCTCTTCTCATCTTGTGTTTGTTTCTTCCGACACAAGAAATGTTGCCTTTGTTAACAGTGTAGTCCCGTTGAAGAGCTTGGTGGTTAGATATCTGTCTTGTACAACCTTGACCTTTTTTATCATGATATATTTGTTGATTTCCTCTGCTTTTGAGTATCGCAAACGGCTTCCAGTTTCTCTCTCTGTCTTGCAAAAATTTGCGTCTGCATCAAACTGTATCACACGTGGACAGTTCAATAATGAGCGACTTGGCATGTGTGATCTGATGATCTAACCAGTTTATTCCTCTTACGGGGTCCCAAGTGGATCATGCTAGTGTTTCCCCAGCTTTATAGGCTGATTTGATTGTTCTGATGCTCCCTGATTGCTTACTGTCTCCAAACCCGTTCGTTTTGTTTTGAGCTTAGTGTCAATATCGGAGCCTAGTACGGATTAACATGATGTGAAGATTCTTGTTCCAATTCGCTGTTTCTTTCCTCTATCAGTTGCGAAAGTATCTACTGCGTCTGCAACATAGTCTCTCCTCCTCCGGCTTTCTGTTCTCACTCCCCCAAGGCCTAATCCAGCTTTTGCACTTGCTGACGCTCTGCTCAGCTTGAAGGTTTCTCTGTTGGAGAGGAGGACTGCGGAATGTCGGGAGGAAACTGCGGACAGCGTCTGTTCTCCACCAGGCCAACCAGGGTATGTTGATCGACCCGTTGACATATGACTCGCTGACATTTTCGCTTGGTGCCTTATGGTTCAGTACTAGAAATGTCAAGTTTGTGACAATCGTTTGGGTTCATTTAATATGCGCTAGCGCAGCAACGTTAGAGTAAAACTACATCACAAAGCAGCCACCGCCTGCATGTCATTTCATTTCCTCCCTTAGCTCTCTCACTCTCTGCCTCAGTCGTAGGTATGCTAACTTGCACAAGTTGCATCAGATTAGCTAAAGGACAACGGCCTCACAGTCTCTCACTCATTAGCTCTCGGAGATGTCTGCTGCTGTTCAGCTCCATTTGCTTGATTCCCCGCTTGGTCCTCAGGCTGGCCTCCACTGTTGTCTTGAGAAATCCCTGGAGGATCCTGAACAGCTGGAGGCTGGGACTGCATCAATTGGTCTTGCTTGTAAAACTTGAATGTATGCGCAATTACCACAAAGACCGAGAGGTAAAGGATTTCCTGCAGAAGAATACCAATCCATGCCTGTTCCCATGTCAAAACTGCTACCTCCACAAACATTAGGGCTATGGGGAAGACGAGGATCGCAAGAAATGTCCAGCGAACGTTGTAGAAGATCAAGATCTTGCAATAAAGCTGCGTTGGAGTCAAGGGACGAGACAGTTCAAGAGTCCCAGCCCGCAACCGCTCGAGGTTGGCGTTCAGAGCTACTATGATACAGAAAGTGATGAGAAACTTGACGACATAGAAAGCAAGGAGGAAGCTCTGACAGTAATTCGGATCGTTGCAGATTGAATGCATCAGACCGAAAACCCCGTACATTGAGAAGAACACCCAAAAGAGCTGCTTCTCTCGTTTTGTCAGCCGATCACGTGTTATGGTCCAACCTAGCGAGATGAGTAGCAGCAGAGCGAGAAAGACTGCATTCGTCATGATGTCACACATCCTTGTTGCATCAAGCAACGCAACGTCATCAATTCCTGTTGTAGACATTTTTCTGTAGTAAACCATCTCAAATATCACCTGGAAGAGTTTCATGCAGAGAGTGACAACGAAGATCGTGTGCAATCTCACTCCTTTGTAGACCGAAAATCTTTGCACAATGCACAAGAATGTCAACATTGCGTAGCAGATCAGGTCCAACAGATAAATCATCTCCAGTGGAGCGCGTTCAATGGACAGGTGCTTTCCGTCCGGGTTCAGCAAAACTACATCCATGACAACATTGACAAGTTCAGTCTGCGCCTGCGAGCTGCAGGAGAAGAGGACGATGGTATACTCTGTCCTCTCTGTCAGTGGGAACGAGTAGAACTGCCGGCCTGTGTTGCGCTTGTAAGGATCTCCCCATACTTGGAACCGTTTGACCGAGGGCAAGCTACAAAGTTGGATGCACTGATGCGTATCGTCTGTTGAGCACGGAGAACCCTCATCAGAGCCTGACCCGTACGAGCTGAGGTCGTAGTCGATCCACTGTTTGGCATTGAAGACAGCCAGGTACATATTTACATACTCGGAGGGCGGTTTCCGAGGCCTACCCACGCCGCCAATCTGAACGGAAATGGATGCATTGCCGTTCCGCTCTGTCCCATAGAACGGCGTGATCTTGGTCATTCTTGTCTTCGAGCTAATGGTGAGATTGAATGATCCCCTGTAGCCATGGACAATCCAAGGCATCGTGACCACCCAGGCAAACAACCATGCAACAAACCCCTTGCTGGCTGGCATCTTGAAAAATGGGTTGAAAAGCGTATCGGATTGAGTTTGAGCTAATCGAAAAACAATCAAATAGGATGAATGTGTATACGTTTTCCTCACCGGATATCGTTGTTTGTTCTTTCAGCAGTTTTCTTCGCACAGCCGTCTTTGCATCAAAATACTTTGTCCCTGCTGTGTTCCAGCTCAAGCTTTCGCTGCTCTTCAAGGAGCTTGTTACTGCTTCACTCCAGCCTGCTCAGCTTCTGACAGTCTCTTCCTCCTGTCTTCACCCTGCGCGTCTACCCGAAGCGCATCGCCATCGCCATCCCCTGCTCTTTCCCCTTCCCCGCTCTCTCCCCCATGTTGTGAGCGCCGGGCCAGCCCTGACCGTTGTGGTAACAGTTACAAATGAAAAGAGCGTGTAGAGGGTGGTGGACTCGAGGGTCTGAAGTATTTGGGGGTGGGGGTACTTTTAGTGGGGTGGTAATTCGCCAATCCATCTTTTCACGGGTACTTTTCTCATGAAAACAATACCCAAATGTACCTACATCGACAAAGTACACCTGGGTAGGTGGCAAAATGATGAGGGTGGGGGTTAGGGGGGTAGGGCTAGTTCACCCCTGGTAGTGAACGGCTGGCGTCCCTTGACGAGCGGGGTCGCGATGGCAGGGCAGGGACGGAACAAGGGCGAAGTTGCGGCCATGGCGTGTGGATTATAAGCAGCAGACAGGAGGGACGATCAAGATGGTTCGTTGGGCCGAGCATCCCGAGGCATGAGCTTGTGACAGGCTACTGAACCCCACGGTGCGTTGAAACGGGGGAAGGGATCGAGTAGTACATCAAGATCGTTAGACCATCATGGCACGTCTTTTGACCAGGATAACGGTGCTCAGTCTTCTCTCCTCCGCAGTCCTAACAGCCAGATGCCCGGACGCGTCTCTCTCGCTCTCCACTTCGACGGGCGGCCATTTCATAGCAGGCTCCATCGCCTGGAGGCACATGTACGGCAACACCGTCAGTTTCGAGATCACGTCAATGTGGAAGAGGAAGTTCCACTGGCCGTGTCCTGTCGCTACTGGCTTCTCAGGCGTCGATGGCTACCCTGCCATAGGAGACCTCGTGCACCTCTCGGGGGTCTCGCCCGTGGGAGCTGCAATGTTGGGGGCGAGGCAGACTGGGGCCGGGCCAGCGCATACGGCCTTTGAGACAGGTTTGATGCCGACTGCGATGAGTTCTTCACTGACCTGATATTGCAGGCGATGGGGCTTTGTATGAGTTGGTATTGAATGTGACAACCTTCTCGATCAAGGAGGATTGGTTCATGGCGATATCGCACGTAGAGCACACGTATTCCAGCCCGTACAAGGGACTGAAAGAGCTGTTCCCTGGTGCATACACGATCTCTACTGCTGACAAGTTCTCTTCCCAACCATACACGACGGTTCCATGGTCCGCTAGGCTCTCAGGCTGCTGCAGGAAGTGGTTTGTGGACCCGCCAGACCCCACGAGCAAAGTTCCTCTTGACTTCCAACTTCGAGCGGAGGTGGACATTAGCAACATGGTCTCCTCTGCGAGGATTGTCACCCTTCCAGTCTTCTCATTGCCGTTCGAGAGCTCCACGAGGCGCGTCAGCGTCTGCGCTCTTCCAGTGGCGGGCAGGGAGGCTCTGATCCAGCTTAACGGAGGTACCCTCCATTGGCCCGACGACGACATGTCAGCCGCGACCTTCTCTTGGCAGATCCGAAACTCGAGCCTGGTTGCCAACATTCTTATGGGAGCCAACGATGCCTGCACTTTGATTGAGTTCCCCTACGTCGCCGGTGCGAACACTGTCAACGACTACATCTCGATTGGGCTGAAGTTGGGCAATGCCTACGTGGAGGGGGATTTCTCCATCAAGCTGAATGCACAAAACAATTTCACTTCTCTCACAGATGCCAGTAACACGTTCGCCTGTGACTTCCTCAAGCCCTGCAAGAAGCAGCTGAACCTTGGACGTTACTTGGCGTACTCCGACGTCAGGTGGTACATAGCGAGCAATGGGCCTTCAATGGAGCTTCGTTATGTGGCTGCAACAGGAGCGCAGTCTAGCCCTATGGTGGCGACCTCACAGAAGAATCTCATCTACGCAACGCAGCCGAGCGAGTTGGACTTTGCTTACATGCCCAACGGAGCGAAGCTTATCCCTATCAGTGAACTGGGACAGTATGTGACTGCGATCGATGTGATGTTCAGCGCCTCAAAGTTGAACACAGATCCCTTGGCTGATCTCCCGTTGTCCAACGCCAACAGGGACTTTGTGAATGTCGCGGCAATCCCCTCGTTCTCGTCTGCTGTTGCCAACAGCAACTTCAACCTGCAGTCAGGCGGCGCGTCGGTCACGATCATTCTTGAGCGCTTGAACAGCAACGTGAACGGTTTCACCATGGATGGAGGCTACTCGCTGCTTGCTGCCGTCACCGACATAACCCTTGCGAACTCGTCGCAAGTCGACGTGGCGATTTCTCAAGGTTACACGCTAGTGGACCAGAACTTGTTGGAGCAGAGCAATAGAGGAGCTATCTACCTTCTGTTCAAGAGGGGGAGCGGGCCGCCGGTCCTCGACGTTGTCACCTCCCCGACTGCAGGCTACACCGCAGTCACCTCCTCGACGTACATGAATGGGAAGCTCATGGCAACTATCACTATCTACGTGAGGTACAGCAGCGAGCAGGAACTCACACGCGTCTTCTCTTGGAAGCCGTGTACCTATCAGGACGAGCCGATCGTCCTGTGCGTGTCCTCGGCCTTCGCTGACTCCGGCTACAGCGGCCCGCAGAAGTGCTTGTACGTGGACGCGTTCCCGAGGAGCCCGCCCTCGGTTGTTCCCGCAGTGCAGGGAGTGTTCCAGGCAACGATGGGGCAGCTCGCGCAGATCAGGATCGACGTGTCTAGGTCGGACATTCCCAAGGCGACGATCAGCACGCCTCCCTCCATCCGCTTCTACTGGAAGGACGGCGTTTCAAGCATGGATCGCGGACAGTCGGCGCTCCTCACGGCCTCAACCCCCATCCTCGCACAGATCGTGAGTGTTACCCTTGCTCGACTCTTGCCTTGCGTGCTGACTTGTCCTCCTGAACAGGTGGGAGAGGATCTCGTGACCCCCGGCCTGACCTTCAAGGCATCGGCAGGAGACTCCAGCGCCGGGAACCAGTTCGTCGGCTACTTTCAGTGGATCCCCTCGCCCTACCATGGTGGGTGGTCAGGGATGGTGTGTTTCGACGTCTGCATCAGCACCGACGGCTGCCCTGTCGTTCCTGGACCCGATGAGATCTGCACGACCAGCTGCGTCTCCCTGGTGGTTCAGAAGTGCAAGTGGGCGGTGCAAATGGACGACACGTTTGTGGAGATCGCTCCTAGGTTCCAGACCAACTGGCTACAGGTACCGCTCCTCCGTCCCCTGAGCTCTTTCTCCTCGATGTTCTGTGGTCATCCCTGTTACTTCAGCAAGGCTTTCCTTCTCCCTCTCCCTCTCCTCCCCCTTCTTCTCCTTCGCCTTCTCCCACCCCTTGTTCCTCTTCCTTCACTTCGACAGCTCCTCTACAACCCTCATCTTCCACTCCTCCCACCTGTCATCGTATGCCAACACATCGTATTCCTCCCATCTTCTTCGTCGTATCCCTTCCTCCACTGACGCTTCTTCGTAGCTGTGGTATCTGAACCCTATGTACGGCCATCCGGACCAAATGTCCATCAATGCTCTGCCCAGCTTGACCAACGCTGTCATCAATGTTGGGCAGGTCTACAAGCCGCGCTGGGATGACACGGTGAGCGTTCAGCCTGCTGCCTCTCGCGCGTGTTGACTGGTGGGGAACAGCTGGAGTTCATTGCCAAGAGGTTCGGGATCTCACACCAGAGGCTCTTGGACCTCAACGCGGACCTGACCAATATCTCGTCGACTGTTCTCTTGGATGGAGTTTACGACCAGGTGAATGAGTTTGTGATTGTGTTTCATTCCCTTCAGATGATCCTCTCGCTCTCGATTCCTTCTTTGTCCTAATGTGCCTGTTTTGATCCCTCTCGCCCCTTCCTCCACTCTCTCTGCTTCCTCACTCCTCCCTCACCCAGATCGTCCTTCCTCCTCTCCTGTTTCTCCCTCCTCTCTCTCTCGCTCCCTCCTCCCTCTCCTGACTTCCTAGCAGGCCATCTGCATCATCCCAGACCCCTGCAATGCCATGCTGGGGTGAGGCCCCTCACCACATCTGGGGGGTGATGAAGAGCGAGGATTCTTCGCGCTTGACCCACTTGAGGATCTTGTTGCAGGCAGCGAGTGCTGTCGTCTTGGACTGACATGTTTGTAAATATCTCAAAGTTCACCCCAAAGTGCCTCACCATGAAGGGAGACAGAGCCACGTACAGCTCCACGTCCCTGCCTTGTTCTTCAGCGTGCGAAGTAGGAGGAAGAAAGGAAGAGGGGAGAAGGGAGGAGGAGAAGGGGGGAGGAGAAGGGAGGAGGAGAAGGGAGGAGGAGAAGGGGGGAGGAGAAGAGAGGAGGAGAAGGGGGGAGGAGAAGGGGGCAGAAGAAGAGAGCAGGATCACCGATCTATCCAGGAGAGAATGGTCTGGTGCGAGTCCGTCGAGAGCGTCAGCTTGTTCTTCCTGTGCTCATGGTAGCATGAGGACATACAACGCACAGTGCAAGGAAGGAGAAAAAAGAGGAGGGAGAGGCGAGGGGGCGGAGGAGGGACGGGGCGGAGAGGAGCAGGAGCAGGAGCAGTGAGGAGAACAAGGGGAGGGGGAATTAGGAAGGAGGCAGAGATAAAGAAATATCAAGGAGAACGACACACAAGAGGAGGCATCAGGGATGGTAAGGGAAAGGGGGAGAAAAACTTGCCTGTCATGTCCATGGACCCAGAACGCCAAGTTCTGATAGCCCCTGATGAGTCGCTGCGAGGTAAGTCAGGTCGTTCAGCTCGAGTGCTTGCTGGGTACCTGCTGGGACTGTCGGTCTCCGTGAACCTTGGAGAATGCGGGAGCAACGAACTGATTCCTGGAGGCGAAGATGAGGGAGCGAGGATCAGGAGGGGGGGGAGGATGAGGAGGACGACGGGAGGGGAGGGAGGAGGAGCCGGTACATGGAGGTTGAGAAGTAGACGAAGTGAAACACGTTCCGAGAGACGTTGGTTGGGGCCTGCCAGGTCGCACGGTCATGAGGTGAGGAGAGGAGCGGCGATCCGGATGGAAGGAGACGGTGGAAGGGGGGGAGGGGGGGGACGAGTGAGGAACACGACGAGAGATGTAGGGAGGAAGGCAAGCAAGTAGTTGACAGATGTGAAGAGATGTGGAGTGAAGAACAGGGAGGATTAGATGGAGGAATGAACTGACTGAGTTATGGAGCAAGGGAACAAGAAAGGGAGTAACTGAGGGAGTAAGGAAAGGAAGTGAGAAAGGGAGAGAGGGAGAGAGGGAGAGAGGGAGGAAGCAGGGAGCTCTTGAGCAAGGACGAGAGGAGGACCTGCTGTAATTCGCTCATGTTGAAAGGAGGCGACAATGCAGATTTCTGCAACTGAGCAAGAGAACCGTTGGCGTCAAGAATCTGGAAACATCAAGTCAAACGCGCGGAAATGCAGTCTTGAATGTTCCGAATCGATCGAACCGACCAACAGGTAAAGAGGAATGGAGAGGGGGAGGGGGAAGGGGAGGGGGAGGGAGACGGGAAAGGAAAGGGAGTGGGAGCGCTAGTAGAAAAAAACAAGAGGGAGAGAAAGAGGATGAAGATAAGTTTACCTTGGCGACAGTCTCTTTGCTCTCCGACAGGCCGAAGAATTCGTTGTCACTCCCTACACTCAGTTATCCCCCCCACCTCACACCCTCGGCTGGGCCGCACCTGCGATCAGCACCAGACAAACATCAGGAGCGCTGTGCTTGTGGAGGAAGCAGATGTACGCGAACACGTTCGCCTGCCCCATCGCGTGAGGTCAACACGGGAAGGGACGCAGGCATGTCGCTTCGTTACATCCGGACTGTAGAGGGGGAGACAGAGAGGAGTCCAGGTCCCTTCAGACTGTTGCAGGCATTAGCAGCAACATTGAGGAGGAGGAGGGGCTGGGACTAGAACGAGGGAAAGAGGGAGGGGGGGGCGGGGGGAGGGGGAGGAGGGAGGTAGGTAGGTAGGGTAAGGGAGGGGAGGGAGGGGAGGGAGGGGA